ATGTGCACAATGACAAAATCTTCAAAATATAGGCCAGGTTCGCATTCTACTGTCAATGTTAATAGAATTATTAGGAAGCAATATTTTGGAATTATGATACATTTAACATAAAATTTGAATAGCTGGACCTCAGTCTTATCCTGAGAATCACTATTGATGATAAAACTTGTCCTTTTATGCATTTACAGTGGTATAGCAAAATACTTCTAAAAATGATGGGGTAAATAGCAAGATATAATGAAACTTATAATCAGACTTAAGCATTCTTAGTTATTTGATTCTTTTAGCATAAAAATAATGTAAATAGTTTGTGATGTGATAATCTTATAAGCCAAAGCTCCTAACTGTATAATTTTGCTTATATTAGAATATGCACTATAACTATCACACTTTGTATATACTTATTGGAAAAAGAAAAGCATATTGCATGGTAGATCCTTAGGGTGCTAGTTGATTGGGATCAGATTAGCATGTTTGACTTAACATTTAGTAAGCAAACTGAAGAAGTACATCATTTTTAATTTTGAGTGCTATATAAATCTGTCAAATGTGCTCTAATAGCCAATACCACTTGAATTGAGGTATCTGTAAATGAAAAATTGTCATTAAAGTGCACTTGAGGCTCAAATACTAGTTCAAAGCTTTAATTAGAATTCATTTTCTGCATTTGCTGTACAAGACTAGACAATTTAGTGGAATACATTGGATTGGATTCCAGAGATGTGAAAAAGTAAATCTGCTTGTGCAACTGATTTTCCCCTTCTCTGTGTCCTTGTATTGGGTCAGAGAGTCTTCCTGAATAGCATGGCCTGTTATAGGGGCTGCAGTGAGAGAGGGGAATTTTTACAAATCAGCTGCAGCCCAGAATTAGCACAATAACAATAAGCTTCCAGACCACAATGGGCTTTCAGTCCATGAGCTATGTGGGTTGTTAATCAAAGAGGTTTCTGGGCCAGCCATGTACCACCCAATGTCTAGTGTAGTACAGTATAGGGAAAACAAACTTGTTGAAAGTGCCAGTCTTGCCATAACCAACTCCTTACATTCATCAGGAATGCTAAAGGCTTGTGACAGCAATTTCCTACAGGGCTTCATGCATTTGCAGTCCTCAGCACTGCCAGGGTGCAGGCCACAGAGGCATTTGTATTTGTGTGCACACAAACCCCTTTTCTGCCTGAGATAACCATAGAACATTGTGATGAGGAGTTAAGGGTGAACTGTTTCTCAGTGTCCAGCACAGGCTTTAAGTGTAGCCTCAAATACTTGTTAGGTTTAACTGCTATGAGAAACCTGTAGGGCCTCAGTGAAGGTATGAGATCACAACTAGGAAATGATGTGAATTCGTAGTCTCATCTTTTGAGATAAGGATATTTATAAACCCTTTTGCTGAAGTGAATTTGGGTTAGCTGGTCTTCCTCCCTCCCTCCTCTCATCTCCCAGGAAGAGGACATAGCTTGTCATATAATCATAGAATAGTAGAGTTGGAAGGGGCCATGAAGGCCTTCAGGGCCACCCCCCTCCTGTTGCAGGACACCAGTGTACACCACCTCACTTAGATGACTGTGTGCACAGTACACTGACTTTGTATACTTTAGAACAGCTTCTAAAACAGGGAAAGAACTGTGTAAAATCTCTCGCAAGGGATGTAGCTTTTTGGCTTGCCACATGGAACTAGGAACACATAAGGTGTTCAGATAACAAGCATCCCAGAAGTAACATTTGCCACCTCAGGAAGTGCTGTGACAAAAAGGGATTTCTGCTAGCTTTTCTTTTGCATCCATATTCCAACATCATATTCAGTTTTGTTTCTTCGTAAGTGTCCAATTCTGAAAATGAGGGTCCTTGACTCCAGGGCTAAAACACTCCCCCCACCCTCAAATTTGCTTTAAACCTCTGACTTGTCTGTAAGTGTTCCTGTTTTACTGCCCTACTGTTTGACACAGGACCTTTATTTTTATTTTACTTATTTATTAAAACATTTCTATGCCGCCCCTTGCCGAGGCCTCGGGGCGGCTTACAACATCAAATAAAATACAAAATACATTAAAACAATAACAATTAAAATATATACAGTAAAATAAAATAAGCCGCCCTGGCCGAATAAAATTCAATAATATTAACATTTAAAATGCTGCTTAAATAAAAAGGTCTTTGCCTGGCGCCGAAAAACAAATAAAGACGGTGCCAGGCGGACCTCTCTGGGGAGCGCATTCCATAACTTAGGCGCCACCGCTGAGAAAGCCCTCCTCCGAGTAGCCACCCTCCTAATTTCCTTCACTGAGGGCTCCCGGAGGAGGGCCTCTCCCGCTGATCTCAAGGGGCGGCTGGGCATATATGGACGTAAGCACTCCTTCAGGTAACCAGGACCCAAGCCGTTTAGGGCTTTATAGGTCATCACCAACACCTTGAATTGGGCCCGGACTTCAATGGGAAGCCAATGAAGCTGCCGGAGAACTGGAGTCATGTGAGCATAACGTCCAGTTCCCATCAGCAGCCTGGCAGCTCTATTTTGAACCAATTGAAGTATCCGGACCGTCTTCAAGGGTAGCCCCACGTAGAGCGCGTTACAGAAGTCAAGACGGGAAGTCACCAGTGCATGAGTCACTGTTGCGAGGCTGTCATACTCCAGATAGGGAGTTTAATATTTCTGTTAAAAAATTCTGTTGAAAATACATGTGGTCAACACTGTTAACAAGAAGAAAGCTTACAGTAGCATAAGAGTGTCTATTTCATGCCCAAGATCATGCTGAAATAGGAGGCATTCATATTTCTGTAGAGAGTACTTAAGAAATTAATGTAGTTATATTGTCATCTGTTAATTATACTACCATGGACTAGCAGTAAATGTGAATATTTAACCAGGAGTTTTTAACAGTTCTTCGTCTTGGCCTCTGTGCATCACACATATGGGTGCTGCACCTGCACAGTGCCTATGGCCACAAAGATGGCCATATGACTGCACAGATGGCCACTTGAAGAACAGTTACAGGTAAGCAGCCTGCTTTTATGATACAGAGATCCAAGATAAATGGTATATGAGATTAAAGGTTTGGGTTTGCTGTGGGAGTGTGAACTCACTGATCCTTTTCATGCATAATCTATGAAAATTGTCTTTTTCCTCAAGATAAAGCCTGATAGAATTTGAATAGTAAGCAGGAAAGTGTTTTGATAACATATTTGGAATACTGTAGATACTTGAGAACCCTTATGGATTTCATAATCTTGAGGAATAGGGAAGGTTGGCCATTAATCAGCCGAGTGGCTTCTGGAAAATGTAATCATGATTATTGATAGTATTATAAAACAACACAGGTTAAACATTGAAGTGAAAGAAGAAAATTGTAAGTACATGCTTTCTCCCATCTGCAGTCAAACTCAGTTCAGTTACATTATTATGCTTGGAATGTCACTTAATACTTTTTATACTTTCCTATAGTATTGGTGATGGTACAGACACTTCAGTTATAATTTGGCTATTGTTAGTAATGACTGTATGCCTACTTGAGAGTAAGGTTCATTGTATTCATAGGATTAGGATGCATCATCCAGTTGTAACATATATTTCCTATTTAAATTTATATAGAATTGGCAATCTTTTTCATCTTTTACATTTTTTTCTCTTTTCTGTATTCTTTTAAGAAAACAATATTTTTTTGTTTTAAAAAATTGATATAGTCTGTGTTAGCCATTAATAATTTGTTCCATTAATTTGAGTGGGATTTGGATCTGGTCAACACATGCAGCAGAATGAGGTTGTAGAACAGACTGTATACTACAAATCACAACTGGGGGAAGGGTTTACATTTTTTAAAGTTCTCCAACATTTAAAAAATGTCAGTAAAAAGTTGGTATAGCAGTAAGCTGGGTAGGGTTAGAAACCCTATGAAATACCAGATTTAGGATTTAGTTTACTTGTAATGAATACTTTATATGTGGGGATGGTGGAGGACAGGAAGGCCTGGAGGAATGTTGTCCATGGGGTCACGATGGGTTGGACACGACTTCGCGACTAGCAACAACAAACATTCAGTCTGGAAAGGTGCCATTTTTATATTGTACAGTACACCATTCTAGTTCATAATTTATGTGTCACCTTAGAAAATTGACCTTGAACCATCAATCACTGATCAGCTAAAATGTATAGATGTTTATTGATTAGGAAATTGAAAGAGTTCATTCAAATGTTTCAAATATTCTAATATGTGTATTCATGTATTGTGTTTATTTTATAAAGATGTGGGTATAATGTTTTAAATAAAACAGTAATTTGCAAGTTTTTCAGGGCTACAGCAAAGAGTATGGCCCCTTGATTTACCTGTCTGCTTGGAGGGCACCAGCCCCATCTCTACATCCACATATGGCCATAACTTTTCAACATAGCTATGTGCACACATGCCAAAGTGCATTTTCTAAAGTAGTGGGGTCAGTTTCCTTAGTAAAATCCCTGTAATTAATTGTGCAATTCTTACACTGGACTTAATATGTTCATAGGTTAAATTTGAACATACCACATTCAGTCTTTGATGATACGGTGGGATTTCAAAGGCAAAGAGCCGTGCCCTTGCTTCTTTCCCTCAGTGCCATACCTGTGGGCCTGATCAGGGAGAAGTATTGTTCAATTCATCCCCTGAATGTTGGATAGAAGGATAGGATAAGATTTTTAAACAGATGTGATTCTAAACAAAATGGGAACTTCAGACTGAAGTTATTGGGCTCCACTTCAGACCTTATTGGACTGAATCACAGACAGAGAAACATTTTTAACAGGTATAATATTCTCAGGGTATAGAATTATAAATTAAACTGACAGAGTGTTACAGACATTTGCATGTTGTGTATCTTTCAGATTGTATCTTGTATGCTAATGTTTTTTGATAAATAACTTCATTAAAATTATTTATGGTTGGCTAATATTATTAAGAATATAAATTAAGCTTTCCCTTGTCTTGAAAACACAGGGATTTCGGTGATTATGGCATCTGAAGCTCAAAATGTTAGAAAACGGAACCTGTTGTATGTTGAGGGTCGTACTCTTGATCTCACTAGAAAAAGGAGCTCTTGTTCCATTAATGAGAACATGAAGGAGGTAAGCTTTTTGAATTGGGTTTAGATGTTTATCTTGCATTGGAACATCAGTGTTTTTGGTTCAGAAAAAAATGCATATCTCACCTATTTAATCAGCTTATGTTGTGATTGATCTGCTATTTAGAGATGTAAAGGGTCTACTGTTCCCAGTATTACAATGAACATGAACTTTAGGTTCTATTGCCACCTTTTCATTTATCTTTGGCTGTTATGAAATAACTTGATATTAAAAAAAAAGTGAGCATAATTGCAATTTTTTTTTTAAAAGGCAAGAAGTCTTCTGAGATTGAGTAGAAAGGCATGCGTTGTGGTTTAGAGCCCTTCTGACATTATTGTGTGAAACAGCAGCTAGCAATGTTAGCGTTTAATACATCCTACCATTAGCTTACACAGGACATTATTTTATTGTTTACATCTTAGCTATACTCCTTTTATATCAAACTCTTTGCAAACATTTATAAAAAGTGATTTACTCCATGCCCAACTAATCAAAGCTGGAGTATTCAGAGATGGCTGGAAAGCACCCTTGTACTTTCTAACTTGGCCCCATAGTTGCCTTTTCATGAAAGGAAGTTTACTCTGATCCAGCAAAAACAGTTGCTACTGGAAGGGGGAAGGGATATGACTTTCACCAATTTCCTCTTTCTAGCAGCACCACTCCATGTTAAACAGGAGTTTCCCTAAGTAGGCAGAGCAAAATATTGGAGGGTTCATGAAAATCAGCAAAACTCATTTATTCCTCTTCCACCATTAGCTGTATCCCATTAGTAGAGTTCTGCTCATAGAAGATTAGGATTCAAACCTCCAAAACTGAAGCAAATTGATCGAGGACAGTGGAGGAATTAGCCAAATTTCCTAGGGGTTGCTATTAGTTTATATTTCTATTCTTAATGTTGCAAGATCATCTTAAAGATTCTGAGAAAATGATACATGTACTGTAAAATAGTTTCTTCTGTTGATATAAAATTAAGGGGGAATGGCTAGTAACCTTTGTAATTCATGTTTCATAAAGACTGTTGTCATTCTTGTGATCCAACAGCTGAAGTTTCTGAATTGAGACAACAGGATTATAATAAATACTTTATTATACATTGGCCATCTAGATAGGTGGTAGAACACATGCTTTGCATGCAGAAGATCCCAGGTTCAATTGCTGACATTTCAAGGTATGGCAGGAAAAACTCTTCAGGCTCAGTGGATCAATGATCTGGGCTTAGTTTAAAGCAGCTTCCATAGTCCAGTATACAGAAAAAGGCTGTTGAGTTATGTTTGGGCATTTTGCTGGATACTACTCCTTCCTGTTAATAGGATATTTGGAATTTGTTGTATCCCAGAAGAAGGGAAGTTTAAACCATCATTCAGTGTTTACATTGTGTACCATTTGCCAAACCTTTAATCTACTTACTACCTATCCCAGCATGGGAGAAGCAATGTTCTCACTAATCTGAATCTACCTAGTAAATTATACAATATGAGATGCTTCATTTCTCATATTGAAAGTGAAACAAACATGTTTCATATCTGTAGTTTAAATATGAAAAGCACAAAGGAATACCTAAATAAATGAAATACACAGGACCCTGAAGCCCAGAGATAGAGATACTCCTGGACCCTTGGGTAGTAGATAAGTTAGCAGTGACTTGGTTTTTATATGAAGGCTCCAAATGGTAAATTAGGATATCACATGTTATCAGATTGAAGTGTGGAGCTATCTAATATTATAGTATACAGTAACTAATGTGAACTGATCGATCACATGTCTCTGTCACTCTCTAAGCAGTTGACATACATTTATCCAAGACACAAGGGATGTCTGTGTTGGGAGAATCGTTTATTTTCCCCCTTTCATTAGTTAAGAATTACATTAGAGTACAGGTTTAAGTACAAAGTTTCCTCATCTCTCTGATGTCATAATACCGCCTCTTGCCATGGATGTCACAATATCTTGACCTTCAGCTAGATGGTCAAAGCTACCCTTGGTGGTTGAGCCTCCAGAGCAAAAATAGATTGATTTTTGCCAGGTACCAGGTGCATGCAGCAATTGAAACAAGATGAAAATACATTTTTAAGACCCAATTCATTTAAGGAGTTTCAAGTCAGGGTTTTGTTTTCCATTTTCAGTAACATTTATGCTTTTTATTTGTAGGGCAAGAAATCTGCAAAACATTTGGCTTCTTGCATAAGCAGGTAAGAGCTACTTTTGTTCATCTGGAGGCACCTTGAGCACTTTTGGTCTTGTTTCTTAGAACTAAGTTTTGAAAGCATCATTGAAGTGCTTAGCAAAAGAGCTGATGCAGAGTTCTCCACCCCATCCCCAGCTGCCCATCTCCATTGAGAATAATGATATATTAAAGGTAGTTTGCTCAGTGTTTCAATGTTTTCTGGTAAACTTTGGACCTACCATGCTGAATACAGCCCACTGGACCCTTGTGACCTGTCAGATGTTGAAGGCGGGGTGCTTTAAGTAGACATACACCTCACTGGCCACTTTGTGACAAGTGAGCTACATCCAGTTTAATAAGTCACAAGTTGTGTATACCTATGTTTATGCAATATGCCTTGCAGATGTTCATTCAGTGAGAGTAGTTGTGATATCAGAATACTGTAGTCATGATTATTATGCATCAGTTTCCTTTGCTCCCTCAAATCTGTATGCACCAGGAGAGCTTGGAGACATAGATTTAAAGATGTCCAGTAGCTCAGAGAACAGTGCCTCAAATGGGTCTAAACAAACAGGTTGATTGTGTTCCTCATGTTATCTAAGGGCAGACCTGTGTTATGTGGGAACAATATTCAGTACATAAAAGTATTTGAAAGTAGATTCCAGACGATGTTCCAGAAGAGAAAGTCATACTGCAGAAAAGTACAACATTGTGTGTGCACACTATACATGCTATATGGTAAGATGGTAACGGAACTGTCTTGTTACTGCAGAACAACAGTTGGACAAACTGTGGCCTGCCCCCATCCTGTATTCAAAGTAGTATCTTGCAGAAGAAAAGTTCACTATTATTCTCCAAAGCCTTGTTTCAGAAAGAAACAGTTCCCTAAAGTCAAGGGCCGTGACATGGCAAATAAGGAAAATGAACTAGCATGTGCAGGTAATCTGCCAGCAAAACTGCCTGCTGATGGTCGTACATTCTTACTGAACTCCAGCGACTCTTCTTGCTCTCAAACAGAGAGTCCTTCATCAAAATTCAGTGGTTTTTTTTCAGAGGTAAGTTAATTTTTTAATACTTTGTTCAAAGACAGCTTATTAAATAATGAGAAAGCTGACTCCCCATAACTTCAAACATAATAGAATATTTCTTATATGGCAAGAAATAAGGACATGAAAACTAGCCCTGAAACCAACTTTAGCTACTGGTGATTAAACATTCAATTTCAGTTGTATGAAAAAGAATTGAAAATACTCTGTATTTTTCATATACTTTCTATTGTATTGGCTTCTTATGAACTTTTCTAGAAAGGACTATCACCACACTAATTTCATTCTTCAATTTATTTGTATACCTTTTTTCTATGAGTATGCTCAGAACAGTTTAAAACATATTAAATTAACATCAATAGTAATATAATGCAAATAATTACAAATGTCACCGCATAACGTTATTGGTATGTCTTAAGGAACAATAGAATAAAATAACAAAAATAAAACATCTAACTCAAGAACTTAAAACCAAACATAAAAATAATGTACATGCAAGCCCAAATAGATCTCCAAGGTTCACTTTATAGAAACATTTGCTACCAGCCATAATACTTTTTGTAATGATATTTCTGTTACCAAGTAACTATAAAGAGATATATATTGAGACCTGACAGAAAAAGTACAGAATGACAGGTGTTAACTCTTAATGGCTTGATCTTTCCCATTTCACTAGGTTTCCGAAGATCATGATACAATGGCACAAGTTCTCTTCAGTAGAAATCTCCGACTGAATGTAGCTTTAACCTTCTGGAGAAGAAGAAGTATAAGTGAGCTCGTAGCCTATTTAGTGAGGTAAAAATGAAAAGGGTTATTGGTGCAACCTAGTCTACCATGGCCACAACATTTATCTGTGAAATTTTCCCTCTCCCCACAGAGGGGTTGGGTAGATGTGAGAGGCATGTACAGACCTCCATTCATGTTCATGATCACAGAGAGTAGAATTCCATAGCATGTAATAATCTTCCACATAGCTGTTTGTGTGGTGGTTTGAACAGTGCCCTAAAGTTTCTTTGATGTTTGCATGACTCTCTTAAAGCATTTCCTAGTGTACATAAATGCTAATAATTAGTCCTGAAATACTGAACTTAGATGTCTCCAGTGTAGGAAATTACATGAAGCTGTGTCTAATGGTGTATTTTTCATTGCTTTATAGGATACAAGATCTAGGTGTAGCAGTGGACTGCCTTCCTGTGCTAACCAGCAGGTACGAAAAAAATCTAAGAGAGGAAGTGTGTGGATTCAAAAGGTCTGTGTTTCTGTATATTGACACTACCTTGTTTCAGCTTACAGGAAGAAAAAACATATATTTCTGTTGGCTGCTGTGTAGACCTTCTCCCATTAGTAAAATCAATGCTCAAAAGCAAGTTTGAAGAGTAAGTTCTAAAATGCTGTTCTTTTGTGAATATTGAGATAATGATAAAGGTCTATCTTTTTCTACTGGTGGTTGCAGTTTATTAACCCTGTTGCATTCATGGAATTATAGGGACTAGACAGGACTGTTCATCATGTAATCTGCCCCTTTGTACTGACACACACTGCCTCTTTCTCAATCTTATCATCTTGACTGTACACTTTCTGCTTATAACATGCAAAAAATAGTCATGTGGGATGTTCACAACCCATTTCAAATAGTTTAGCCAAGCAATCTAAATAGGTTCATGGTACAATCCTTTTTTATCCAACCTCAATACATGTATATCTCAATGAAAGAGATGTATATGGAAGCATATGTGCATCCAGTGCAGGGTGTGAGGCATGGCCACACTCGTGCCCTGTATTGCTCCTTAGAAGATTACTGCAAAGGGAGAGGAGGAGAATGGCTACGACATAAGACATTGGTCCTGGCCTCCACCGTTCCACATGCAGGTTTAGCCTTGTCCAAGGTTGATTTCGAACCTTGGAGATAGCATGGTTCTTTCCATAGCTGCTGCAAAGAAGCATGGGGCAGAGGCTCCACATTCAGCAAACCAGCTCCATGTTTGGAGGACCTCAGAGCTGGGACTCCACATAATCCTGTGCTTTCTCCCCTGACCATATCAGGAGCTTATAAGATTGCACCTCACTTGTTTAATCAAGTTCACATAAAAATACAAAGAAAACTAAAACTTTGGAGTTGCTAAGCCCAAGTAGAAGAAATTTTTATTTCCATCACAAATGTGATACTAGATCCTGTGTCTGAAGCAAAATCCTTCCACTATTCCTACTGGAGAACATTTCTCTGACACCATTTCCCTTGAATTTGGTACAAGGTGACTCAATGCCAGTTTTCTCCTGTTCCTTAGAAGCAACATTTTGCCAATCAATTGTCTGAGCAGATTTCTTCTTGAGATTGAATTTTTTTTCTTCAGTATCTTTGGTAACACACACATAATTGTTTCAGATACGTGATAGTTGGTTTAAATTGGCTGCAGGCTGTGATTAAGAGATGGTGGTCAGAGCTTTCTGCACATACAGAAAAGATAGAGGATGGGTAAGTTACATATTTTAGCTTCCAGTAATGTGGGCTTTTGACTTTTAAGATGTAAAGCCTGAAATGCTTTTTGCATGTTTTCTCATTATTGAAATGCAAGATGCCCCTCTGACTCCAGGTAAGATTTTCTGGGCAAACTGCTCAAAGGAGCTCTAAAATCAAACTGAGCAGTATAACTTCTAGAAAGGCCATTCTGTCTTGGATCATTTTCACTACTGTTTAAAATATTGTAATCAACCTAAAAACAGTTATTGGGCAGATTACAAATGTAGTAAATAACCACTGTTAGAAAAATAATTTGTTGTCTTATATTAAATATGAGGACACTTTTCTCCTTTGTGGGTTTGCCATTACTCAGATATGATTTTTCCCCTAAACCTTAAAATATTTTGAGTTGTTAACTATACACTTTTTCAGTAGCATAATACTTTGTAATAGGCTAAATCGATCATGGAAAGACATTTACATTGCCAGTTACTTGGTAAAGATCTACTTATCTTCATATATATGCAAAATAACATGTTTTCTCTTGAGAAGATAAGAAATTTGTGCTCTTAGATGTCTTAGAAAGCTAGAATTGAAGCCTACAGGTTTAAGCCAAAACCTGTGAAGTTTCCTGGACCAAGTAGTGCTCCAAAATGGCAATAAAGTTGAGACATACTCTGGTTCTGACCCATTCATCATTTATGTATGCTGTGGCTTCCTCAAACTAGAGTTTGTTTTTAACTGTTTTTCATAGAAGCAGAAACAAAACAAAATCTTCTAAATTAGCTAACAGCTTTTAAAAAAAACCACTTTCCTATCTCTTATGTCTAAAAATCTTGCCGAGATAGCTAACACTGTATACTTCTGACTTCTATATAATTTTGTACTCATGCCTTTGTTTCATAGTAATATTCAGATTTTAAAGGAACAATTGTATGGATTGTGGAAACAAGAAAATCATCTTACATTGGTTCCAGGATATACGGGTAATATAGCAAAGGTAACATGTTTACAGTGATGTTCATTAGGTAAAATAATCAAACTTATAAATCTTTTTTTGTGGTAATTTATTTAACCTGATTTATAGTGAATTGCTTTATTCCTTGGTGGTGTATTTCTTAGAAATCTGAATTCACTCTCCATACATCAGCTAGTTATTCTGCCTACAGATGCTCCATTAGCCTAACTAATCCATCAACTTTTCCACTGATCCCTTTTTTCACTATGAAGATGAATAAACACAATTGGGTTTAATAAGTCTGACTTATTGCTCTGTTGTGTATCTGTTTTTTGGATTCTTCTTCATATCCATTTCTCATCTCTTGGTTCTATTGCCTGATCATCAGCCTGACCCTTGCATTCCTTACTGTGCCTTCTTTAATGTAAAAACAAAAAAACCCAGCAACTGGACAGATGAAAATTTGAAATAGAGGGCTGGGTGTAGTATAAATTGACTTTTCAACTTAGGTGGTAGATAAGAAAGCATAATCCTAATATTTAACATTTATAGAGCAACTTAATATTCAGAGAACTTCACATCTTATTGCAAATCTTGGAATAACCCTGTAAGAGAGATTAGCAGCATTATCCCTGTGTCGTAGACAGGAAGCTGAGAGACTGTGTGTGTGGTAAAGAGAATGAGTGGCTTACCTAAGCAATGCAGGGAGTTCATGACAGAAGTGATATTCAAACCAGGGACAACCTGACCCTACCTCAGCATCTTAAAACCTATGCTACCCCTGCTCTTATGAGAGGCATGCATGGTTTTGGAGGGGAGACTCTTTCCTTTGTCCAGACAAGGCTGGATCTTCTCCTGTTTCTCTCATTCCCTTCTTGTTTCTTCCTGAAATAGTTACGGGGAATAGGGTTAGGAATGCAAGAACAAAAGATATTGTCACCTATCCCTGAATAGCACTGACTTGGTGCTGTTCTGGAAAGGCTAATGAACTGTGCAGAAAAAGGGGAAATTGCTGAGCATGCATTCTTAGCACGGTATTTGTTGCTGGAAGAACACATAAGAGCAAACCTCCCAGAGGTCCAGTATTTCAATATTAAGCAATAACTCTGATGTTAAACATTGCAAATGCTTCAGTGTAATTATTTGGTAGGTACTGAAAATGGGGTGGGGACTGTCTTAACCATTTGGATTGCTAGGAAGAAATATTTATGAGAAATTTATGTAGGAAGGAATTGACTAAATCAATCTAGAAATGTCCATGTGGATGAACAATTTTGAAAAATGGTCCTCTTGCCTGGAAGCAAATGCTACTGGAAAATGCCCTTCGATGGCCACAGAATGAGTGCATCAATTCAATAAATAAATAAGCTAGCAACCAAGCAGTAGCATCCCCCAGAATTTGAAGTCCTGCTGTATACTGCTCTTTGAATTAATATCTTGTTCCTTTTTTACTGTTTTAGGATGTTGATGCTTACTTATTACAGCTGCAATGATCTTCCTGGAGGACAACGTGTGTGCACACATGCTATTATGCATTAGCTAAGAAAACCTTTCAAGTAAAGCTGAACTGTAATTCCAAAAGGACTTCTCTTCCAAGAACTGTCTTTAACAGAAGAGGACTATTCAGTGCAACCACTAAAATCCATCTGCTTCACATTGAAGTGGAAAAAATCTAATAGGAGCAACTTTTACTTCAGTGAGGTGAAAGAGCACTATGAAAACTGTATGTATGCCTTTGCTGCATTTGGGGATTTGTTCAGTTTCCAGGTGTACTTGTGAAAGTCTTTCTACTACAGAATTGTATAAAGCAGCAAAACCTAATTGTGAAAACAGAACTGTAGAACTAGTTACTAGGAACCACAAGACCAATCGCCATGAATATTTTTTAAAACTTTACTATCCATATGAACTGTAATAATGTGTATATTTCAAGATATGTTAATTTTGGAGTTTTGCTGTACTGAAATTCTGAACTGTGTGTCTGCTACATTAATCAAGATATTAAAGACTATTTTTGTTGCACTACTGAGAAATTGTATATAGCAAGAGGCCTTAACTATTCTAGTATTGCAAATAGCCAATATATTATCATATAGCCAATATATTAAGATACCATATAGGGGGGTGGAAACTCTTTATTTAAAAATCAGGGTGTTACACTAATTGTGTACAACTCATTTTGAAACATTTTGCACACTTAAATATGTTTAAGTGGAGGTTCCCACCAACTGACTACTTAAATAACTGTATGACTTAATTGTAAGAGTATTAAAATTTAGGCATGGAGGAAAGTTGACAGAATAGCAGCAGAGTAGTGAATCTGTACACCTAGCATTTTTAATAATTAAATTTTCTAATATGTATTAAGTTACATGCATTTGAGTAAATATACTAAATGTTACTGCTGTTTTAATTAAGTTCAGATGAGTACTTGGATATTTCACCCCATTCAGAACAACTTCTGCTGTACTTCAAATATTTATAACGTCTGCTCCTTAGAAGTGTTTACAGGCAGGGCAGGCCAGCGCTTTTCAGAATTAACAATGCATCTGCTACCTCCTCTAACAAATGTTGCTGCAGCTCTTGCAATGTAGTTGCCATATTCCTAACTTAACATTTAAACTTCACTGGATCATGAAAGCAGTACATCCAGTGCAAAAGTTTACAGCTGTACTTTGTTTTATTAATTTGTGACATTTTCGTTCAACCTGCTGTGACTTATCAGCTATACTAAAAATAAAACAGAGCTTGATGGGTTTGTGGGATGGCACCTGTGTTTTGTGTAAGTAGTAAATATGTTTGTCCAAATAAAATTCTATGAAGTGCCAGCTGTGCACAAAAAACTGAAATGATTTTTTTTTTTTTGCAGCATATCAACAAGCTTGATAATTAAGTGTAATTTTGATACTTAACTATGGCTTTGGGTTATAGTTCTGCAGCTCAAACAGGATTTTTTAAATGTGTGTTTCCCTTTTTAAAATGTTCTTATTACAACCCTATTCAAAAGCAAAAAAGTATCTCTAAACAGTCTTATTTTGAAAGCATTTTTCCAATTTCTCTAACTCAAGAAAGTCAACCAAAAGTAAGACCTAGTTTTTGTTTTCATTTACAAAATACTGTAGCTGTGAGAAGATCATAGAGTTATTTCATTTCTACATTGCCTAATAGCTGAAGCTCTCTGGGTAGTGAACAACAGTTAATAAATACAGTAAAGTACAATCTAAAATAAACAATAAATCTAAGCTTAACATGTTGAGTTAAACATGTTAACAACTAAAACCAGTCCATACCATTATTCCTGCTGTAAAGTAGCTGGCAATATCTGCCACTCCCATGGGCTACTTGGAGTTGTTAAATACCTTGGCAAATAGAGGTGTCTTAACCCGGCACTAAAAAGATAGAAAAGCTGGTGCCAGGCAGGCCTCATTGGAAAGATCATTCCATAATTTGGGGGCTAGCACAGGGAAGGCCTTCATCCTTTTCACTACCAGCTGAGCCTCCCATGGAGGTGACATTCAGTGGAAAGCCGCAGACAATGAACATAGTGTCTAGGTTTATTGTTCTCACCTGCCTAGGCCTTTATAAGTTAAAACCAGCACCTTGAGTTAGGCTTGAAAGCATATAGGCAATTAATACAAAGACACCAGAAATGGGGATTACCTTAGAGATTACTAGAGCACAGATTACTGAAGCCAGGCTATTCCTACCCACATAGAGACATAAACTGGGCCACCACTAGTTTTTTATTATCTGTTCCCAAACCAGTGTTGCTTCATCACTTTCAGCTCTAGGAATATACAGTGGTACCTTGGCTCACGAACTTAATCTGTTCCAGGACTCTGGTCGTGACCCAAACTGGTCATGAGCCAAGTTAAATTTCCCCATACGGTTCAGTGTAAGTAAGGTTAATCCGTTCTGTAACCATTTTTTAAATCAGAAAAATGTGAAGCAAAGTGATAACAAAGATCGTGGCCATCTCCCCTCCCCCCCCCCCCCGAGCACAAGCGCGGCCATCTTCCCGCCCCACCCAGCATGACTGAGATCGCGCCCGTCATCCTGGCACGGTGGGGCGATGGCCGTGATCGTGCTGGTTGGGGAGGGGAGGAATGGCCGAGATTGTGCCCATTTTTCCTGCAGGAGCGCACCTCTGATCATGCATGCCTTCCCTGCACGAAAGCAACTATGATTGTGGCCATCTCTCCACTCGGGGGTGGGGAATGGCTGCGATCTTGGTTGTCACCCAATGCGGAGTTCACGACCCATGTCAAAATTTTAATGAAATTTTTGTTTGCGACCTGATTTGTTGGTGAACCAAGGCGTTCATGTGCCGAGGTACCACTGTACCATAGAGCCAAATGAACTTTACTACAGAGAAGCCATTCAGGAGTGATCAGTGACAACCACCTGTGAAAAGTCAGTATTAGTCTAAATCTCAACAGGCAGCGATCTGACTTCGGCAAACGGTCAAGGTCCCACACCTTCAGACCACCATCCCACACCCAGTCCCAGGGTCAGCATGGAGTCCATCAAATCTTGATCCACCCCCCGGTAAGCTGCTTTTGGCATGGATGCTAACGTTCTGCAGGACCAATAGAGGCCACTTCTGTCAGACAGGCAGTGTGAGAAGCAGGGTAGTGGTTCACCAACAGAATCCCTAATCTGTCCCATTGCTCTACACCAATTGATGTAGATTTCTCCTGGGACTTGATGCTGTTTAATTTTGTCAAATGACCGCACTCTTCAGCAGAAAAAAAGCTCTCACAATGGCTTTAAAACAAGGTATAGTATCTGACAGTTGGCAGTGCTCTGGAATAAGCAAACACATTGTAAAAAAAATCCTGTGTTACTCAGTAATACTGCAGCAATCTGACTCAGCTAAGTTCAGCCTGCCAGGAACACAACAGACAATAGCAAAAGATGAATGCATGCACAGTATCTATTACACATTTTCTGTCCCATTCTAGTGATGGACAGAAGACTGTAAGGAAAATAAATGCCTGCACAAACAAGGGCTAGATTATATACTGCTTTTAAGTACTTAGAGAAGTGGTTGCCAAGTAATATTTTGCAAGTTACACAGTGCAAGATTAAGTCTAATTTGGTTTTTGTCATGTTACACATGGTGCCTCTAATTCTTATTCATGTCTTACAGCTAAACCCAATTTAACTTCAGTGTAAGGCATGTAGTAAATGCCATCCATTTCAATGGAATGCAAAACACCCTGTCTGCCTGGCCTAGTTTGTCTGAGAGGGATCCAGGAAAGCTTACAAGTAGGGCAAGACAGAAGTCGCTACCACCTGTTAGTTTAGTACTTGATATCTGGTACTTGAATATCACATCATGACAAGGCAAAACTCACTGGAGAAGACAATCATACTATGGAAAGTCAAAGCCAGAAAGGAAGAAAAGACCAAGTAAGGGATGGATTGACTCCATAAAGGAAGCCACAGCCTTGAATTTAGAACAGCTAAGCAGAGATGTCATCAATAGGACATTTTGGAGGGCATTCATTCATAAGTTAGAGACTATTTGATGGTAAATGGCAACAGAACCAGAATACATACATTAAAAATGAATATAAATTTCCTTTTTAGTTAAAGGTCAATCAATGTCTATTCAGCTATCTCTGAATTAATCTATCCTGTTCACGGCAAACTTTGGCAATCAATTCTATAGATTCTGTGTGTGACAAAGTGATTTATTTATTTATGCATGCAATGTAATGTAATAGAAGAGATCCTGTTTTTCTAGAATAAGTTGCATTAGCAACTTTCTGTATCTGTGCATAGGATTTAAAAAATATTTTCCCCTTGAAAACTATATGTAGTTGAAATGATAATGCCACTTTATAGTGACACTGCGACCTGTTTAAAGATAGATTCCCACAGCACTGATATAGTTGTACAATTAGGTCACATTAGCTGGAATGCCTAATTAAGAAAACAGAATAGGGTATTATAAATATGTTCACAGCTGCTTAAACTAAAACCACAATGGCTTTGAAGTTACTGTTAAATGCAGCTTATAATTAATGTGGTTTATAAAGAAAAAACAAATCCTTTGGCAGAATTTAAGATTGTAGTCATTGTATAAATGGACCAAGCTGATATTGAAAAGTGTTGACTTTTTTGTGTAATTTAACTGTTTATGCCTAATGCTACGATATACCTTGAAGTTGCCTTTCTTACCTTTGTCCTGCGTTCACACACAAGTATGCCTCCATCTTCCTACGAAATGGTGGCATGTATACCATCAACCCGCATGGTTAAGAACCAATCCCAGTGCACAGTGCTCCTTCCTGTGCTACCTACCTCTCCCCTGTTGGACTGCACACTCCCCTGGGTGTGTGCTCATTCAGCCATTGCTCTCCGCCCCTGCTCCATAGAGCAACCATCTACTCATTAGGCAGGTGTTGTTTCCTGTCTTCTCTCCCAGCACATGCTCTCCAATGCCTGGCTGGATTTCCCTCCTTGCCAGCTTGCCACTTGGCCATTTGCCTATCTACCCACCTCCTGGTTAAGTCACCCACCTCATGTGCTGCCTGGACAGATTGCTGGGCAGACCCGCCTTTTGCAAGGTTGCACTGTCCCCTCTTGCATGCTGGAGGACAGCATGATCTCATGTAATACAACCTCACAAAAGGCAGGGACATGGCAGAACAGCCAAAGCAGGCAGCTAAGACGGGTATCTCGGTGATCTGGCCAGGTGACATGTGAGGCGGGCAATTCACCCAGGAGGTGAGTAGGTAGGGGATGGAATGGCAGTGAGGTGAGTGATCAGCCAAGGGGATGTGTTGCAGTACACAGCCCCCAACTAGGTAATTCACTGCTACCACCCAGTTGCTTCTCACCCTGCTCTTGCACAAGAGGGGCTTTGCTCAGATGCTCATGGAGGGTACAGCTCCTTTGCAGCACTACCCAGCTGATATCTGTCTTCCTTTTGGCTGAGCTTGGATCAAACAACCACCTCTAGCTCAAATAGCATCATTTGGAGCAGGAGGGAGGAAGCCCGACGATCTCCTTGTCCTGTCTGCCATGCTTTAGGTCAGTGGTCCCCGGCATTTTTGGGCTACCTTCCTTTTTCCTCTTGGGCAACAACCCTAGTGCCCCCATGCCTCTTTCTTTGAATTAGGTCTCTTGCTCTACTGCAAATTTAAAATTTCCAATCACCACCACCACCAAGGGGACAGTACTGTTGACTTCAGAAATCACCACTTTAGGGAATGAGCCCTGTTTGTGCAGCAGACTGCATGATAGTTACAGCAAGCTGAACTTAGCTTGTGAGTGCAACTGCTAGTGAGGAGCCTTACTCCTCCCTGCAGTGCCTCCTGAGATACGGCCTGGAGGACTGAGGAAGAAAATGGCAGGTGAAAGGACAGTTAGCACACGTGTCATTCTTTCAGACATGGTGGAAACTCTGCAGGATTGCTTGTTGTGACATGTGAACATGGCCACTGTATTCCATGGACCTTAATCCTAAATAGATGCAGACAGGATTGGAGCCAGGTAGTTGTTGCATACATGCAGCCGCTCATAATACTACATCCTAAGGATTTGCATGTTATTAATTTGGATATTAAAAGTTCTGCATATCAAGTATTTCTGGATCAGCTTGATAGACCACTTTGGGTTGACATTTGTGTGAGCACACACCCAAAGGGTAAGTACTGTGCTGTGTATTCCAAACCTGTTGTAGTGCTTTTTCCAAAGTCTGGAGACATAATAGTTGATTTTAGAATCCACAGTGAGTTTTTAATGATTAATCCAGGTTCTAGCAAACCCATTTTTGCTAATCTCAAATATTTTGTTCATTTTATGTATTTCAAACTTCCTTTTCTCTAGCTCTTTT